TATTTTCCATTATAAAAAAAATCAGTTGCCCGTAGCTTAGTTTAATAAAGTACCTTTCTTGGTACAGTGTATTAAATTAACTACAATGTTTTGTTTTGAAATTACTTAAATTATTTTCTGTTATAAAAAAATCAGTTGCCCTTAGTTTATTTAATCCAGTACCTGACTTGGTACAGTGTATAAAAATAACTACATTATTTTGTTTTGAAATTACTTAAATTATTTTCTATTTTAAAAATCAGTTGCCCTTGGTTTATTTAATAATGTACCTGACTAAAGAATAGTAGAGTTACAGGTTGAAATCCCAACTGGCTTGAAGACCCACTCTGGTTTGTCATCATTATCCACTTTTAAAATTCCTTAACTTTGATTTAAATGATACTTTTAAGAATATTTTTCCAGAATAACGAAATCATACATAAATTTTTAAAATAAAAAAAACTAGCAAACTTCGTTAATAATTTTAACAGTAACAATTAAACTTTGTGTTCTCAATAGAACTGGAATAAACTAGATTTACATAGTGTGTTAAAAATGTTTCAAACTATACAAAAACTCATTATATTTTCCAACTAGGCTAATTTTTGTTTATTGATAATTAGTGAATTTACAGAAGACTATGAGAAAAATCCGTAGGGATTCACTAATTCTATTTAGTTTTCCTGTCAATTTATACATTGTTACATTATCATGTAATGTTTTTATTTCTTGAAATTATCACACGCTGAAGTAATTTTTTAAGCACATATTGAAAAAAAAAACCATTTGAAACAAAAGGCACACTTGGATCTGTTACATTGAAAATATACAAATTAAATTTTAAACATGTTGAGTTTTTATTAACTTAGATATTCATACATGCTTCAAAAAGTATTTTAATAATATTGACACATTATTTGATGCCCATGAATACAATGAGCAAGTTAAATTAAAAAAAACATCAGTGGTTTTTGTGCTTAGTTCTGGATTGTAGCATTTGGAGTACTGGTAATGTTGTTAGCTCCCTTGGCTTTGTTTAATGGAGACAAAAAAAAACAAGTTGGATGCTCCAATTACCCCCTTACAGAAGTCAAAAATACTTTTTACAGAAAGCTATTCTAAATGTTTAATATTTTTTATTTCTTTTTTGTTTCAATTCATTTACATTTTTAAATATTTTAAAAAATAAGCCTATAGATCTAGGCCTACATTGCTTCTTTTTTTTTTTTAATGTAACAGTTTAAATGCAGAAAAGTAATGGCCATAAAAAAAAATATTTTGAGTTTCCAGCCAACTTGCAACTAAACAGCCCTTGTGTTGTTTGGGAATGTCCATAAAATATGATGTCACTGCATGATGGAGAGAGGGTGTTAATGGCAAACTAAAACAAAAGGTAGGGTTTACTAAGTCTTTTTTTTAAATTGCTTTTAGAAGTTATTTCACACTATATGAAAGGCTTTTGTAAATTGTAATATAAAAAACTCATTCATCCTATTGATCTTGACCATGCTCAATTAATATTAGAAATAAATGTTTATTTTAATTTTAGGATAATTTTAGGAAGAACAATTGTAAAATGAGTTGACGGGAGGGGGGGGGGGGGGGGTAGACTAGTATTTAGGAGTAGTCCGTTTTTGTGACAATGGCAGAAGATGTCAATATTGACAAAAAAATGCATGACATCATACATGGACAACCCTTTCTTGAATAAAAAAAAAACATTGTCAATATCATCTAATAGCTTAGAACAACAACAAAAAATTATCTTCCTGAAGTTCTCTTGATACCAGGGCTTACAACAACTGTGTTTCATAATCATGTGTTAAAAAAACTGAATGCATCCCCTATTGGTATGAATCTATATACAGTTCATTAAGCATCATCTTGATGTGAGTGGTTGTTACACAAAAGACCGTCTGTCACTCTCAGAACTAATACACTTTTATTTCAACATTTAGAAGGAGGTAGGAATATCTTGAAACAGATACCTGGTGATACTGTTAACTTCTGCTTCACCTACAGTTCAAACAAAATTACCAACAAATTAAAATGATATCGGTTACAGCTTTGGATTTTTTTTAATCCTCTGTAGGTAGTACAAAAACTTTAAAAATGATTGTGTTTATACGTATTTCTAAAATTAAATGAGTATAAAATTAAACTAGAATTTACTTAGAAAGTGTTTAAAAAAATTAAAATTTACAAATTCTTTGACAAATTAAACTATAATTTACATAGCAAAACTATAATTTACATAACGTTTGTGAAATCAAATTTATATATTTTTTTAAATACAACACCTGAATGTAATTATATACGAAAGTGAGAATACTGCTGATAAATTGTCGAAATTGATATAAAACAGTTCTTAAAATGTGTAAAAAAGTATTTGATAACTGATGAAAAAGATGACATAAAATCATTTTAGCTTCTCTATTGTACAATGTGAAGGCACATTTAGGGTGATGTAAAAAAGATGAGTGGTATAAAATGTTTTTATATAAACCTGAAATAAGTAATTCAATCTTCTCCTATATTTTTGTCTTTTTTCCCTTCAAAATGGGCTGATTAATTGAAAGACAATGGGGTTAAACAAACTTTTAAAAATTAGCACTTTTTAATCTTGAATAATATTAAACTGATTTTTATTTTTTTAAATTACTTTAAAATATTATTCGTTACTGCATCTTTTTAAAATATACTTAATAAAATTTAAAATTACATTAGTTAGTAATTATTAGAGCTCATGTTTGTGGTTTTTAATATCAGCAGATTAATTGTATTTATAGAACAAATCTTTTAAACACTTTATTAGCAATAAATCTGGGTAGTTTTTCCTCTTTCCTCTGTGATTTCTAAAATTACCTGATAAACAAATTATCCCAATTGTTTTGTGAACAGGATTGTAGTACTAGTCCAAGGAAGTTAGACTTTGAAAAGTTGAGGAGCTGAACCATACTGATAGCAAAAAATATAAAAATAAATGCAGTTAACCATACTTTTATAATTTCTCATTAGATTTACATAAAGTGTATGGCTAACTTTAAGAGTAAATGTTTTCTTATTAAATCCTAGACTTCAACTTCCTGTGCCACTTGAAAATTATATAAAACAAAATTTTAAACAACTTCAGAGATATGAAGAATTATCAATAGTGGATAGTGCCTAAGAAAATGCGACTAGCCATTGATCAATAATTATCCTCGTTCAGATAACATTAATTTTTCAGATATTACTAAAAAGGGCTTTCAACCTCAAACTATTAGATATGTGTTAATAATTATTAGAATAACTAAAATCTTGTGGATTTTACAACAACCTTTATCTAAGGTTAATGCTTATTTTTAGACAAATATACTTTAAAACTGTTTATCTACAATATACATATCTAAAACATGTGACAAATCTAAAAATGAAATAAAGAAAAGTACAAGTAAGCATCTTCGTAAATGTTATTTTTACAAATGTTATTAATGTTATGTACAAATATGTACAATTTTAATTTCTTTGTAAAGCAGTATTTGTTCATTGAATAAGTGAGAAAATATTTCACAATGCATAAATAAATTCTTCACTGTGAAGCTAAGATAAAAAGCAGAAAAAAAAAAAAAAAAATTACATTAATTTAGAGACAACACTTACAAATTTATTTCGTAATATATATATATATATATATATATATATATATATATATATATATATTGGTAGATAAATTATGTGTACACTAATTTATGTTATAGAGCTAAAATATTTCACTGTGACATGGTCGTGTGATAGGTTTCCTTGTGATGTACGAAGTAGAAACAAACAAAATTGGACCCAGAAGAAATTATGCACGTAGAAAATTAATGAATAAATAACTTACAAAATTACAATTCAAAGATGACAGTGAGGATTTCTAAATGCAACAAACTTTTTTTTTCTCTCAATTCTGACAAAATACAACACAGTCATTACATTTGAGCTGAGCTTCTAGATTTTTACACACACACAAATTGATACTGATGTGGATGGATCTTTTATGAACAATTTTAGTAGTTACGTTAAGTCTAATTTACAAAAAAAACAACATAATTTTTAATGTCAATTTTTCTTTTTGCCTTCTTTAATGTCAGTATAAAAAGGTAATTACCATATTGCCTAAAAATATGTAATATATCACTACTACATCTAAGTTCTGGTATTCAATATTTAAAGTTATTTTTATTTATTCAGCAGCTTTTTTTTTATTGGTCAGTGCTTTAAAACAAGAGTGGCGCTTGTATATTTACTACATTATAAATGACTGTAGTAAACCCAGCTATGTTTTATTTCTTTGTTTTTCTAAAGTAACATCTCTCTTTATATTATAATATTTAAAATGTATCTCTTGAGCACTTTTAGAGTTATAACAAAGCTACCTTTTTTTTTTTAAATTTATTTAACGCAGGATTTTTTAAGCTTTACCTAATGATAAACATACCGTTTTTAAACAAAATATTAACATAGGATTTCTTTTTACATAAGCAAACTAAAACAGTAACAAGCTGGAGTGTTGTTGTTTTTTTTTTGTTTCTTGTTTTGCGTTGTAAGGTAGTCTAATTTTGAAAAAGAAATTTTTAAAAAGTAATATTCTTGACCTTTTGTAGTAACACTAGTATTGCATTATATTTGACCCATTCAATGAAGGAATGTAGAATCTTCTAAATGAATAGTCTTCATTATGTAAATGATGGAATCAGAATTATCTAAACTTTATCACCATAAAAAAGTGCTTACTGTAAGTTAATTGTAATATTATTAGCTGCCTTTTCATGATGTACAAATACAAATATGCTTGTTTTGTTGTTGTGCTAAATTTATATAAAAAAATAGAAGAAATTCATGGTGTTTTGATAAGCTCAGTAAAAAAGAAAGTGAAAAAAAATAATATAAATATAAAGACTTACTTAGATGCCCTTAACTAATAAAACAAAAATCAACAAAAAATGAAGAAGGGTCATCCACAGACAAGGTCACTTTCCTAAAGGTGGGGTGTGTGGGGGGGGGGGGGGGGTGTTCAGACTTTTGTGACTATGAGTGACAAAATAGAGAAAGGAACAGTTCAGAATATGCGACGACACATTTCTGCATTTTAATTTAAAAAGTAATGTAAGAAACTGAATTTTAGCCATTATTTTTTGCTATCTTAAAAGACAGTTTTTGTAAATTTGTAAAAATGTTACAAAGAGATTGATATTTCAAAAAAAAAATTGATAAATTGAGGTGGGGGTGGTAGGCTGAGGTGTTATTTTAGAGGAAGGGGGATGGGTTTCTGGCTTTCTGAGTTGATGTTTGATGAAGGGGAGGGGGAGAGGTAAACAGAATTTTGTAAAACATGGAAGTCATCTATGGATGACCCTTTAAACTATGGAATCTAAATATTCAAAAACAAAAATGGATTGAAATTTCTTTTTCAAACTGCAGCTGATAACATACTATAGAAAGGTAGACCAATTTATGAACATTATTTTCATTCTTTTAAAAATAGTTGAAAGTTAAATAACAGCAGAATACAGATACAAAAAGGCTTATTTGTGGTAAGTTATTTAAATACAAACCAAGATTAAATTTACAGTCTTTGGTAAATTAGTTAAATCCACTAAATTAATTACATTAATTAAGTTGAACTTCTAGGCGGCCTGCAGATGGGGGTCCTGGACGCAGACCTTGAAGCACCCATGATGAATGACCTCCGGTGGGGGTTAAGTGAGTTTTGTTCCGCGCCCCCCGCTGCCCCTGTGCAAAACGTCCAAACCTTGACAAAAAGGTGCTTGACCTCTTTCCTGAATTTGACGTTAAATACAAAATACACAACCGGCTTAACCAGGTAGTTTAGGAGGTAGGAACGTATGCAAAGGTTGAACACAATCTCAGACACGTTTGAGGAGAACTGGTTGAACACCGTGGTGGTCGCGCACAGAATCGTAACGACCACGTACGGCAGCATCGTGACGACGAATATTATCGAAATCACCATGAAAATGGACGTCTGCCGCGTGTTTTTAACGTGAAGCTGCACAACAGCTCCCCCAACGGGAGCGCTGGACGCCTGCAGGCTGTTTGTCTTCACGATGCCGCTGCTGCTCTTCAGCGGCTGCCGAGCCGAGTCGGACGTGTGCGAGTACGACAGCGTCCCCGGGCTGTGCAGGCGAGAAATCTCCTCGCTATAGTTTGTCACAGATGAGGTACTGGTCTCCTCCCGAACGAATCTATGCTTTTTAGGGAATTCCCGTTTAGCCGGACTAGGCTTCTCTCCCCTCTCCTCGGCTTGCCTCTGTTTGCACCACGCAACTCCGATCAAACAGTACATGGCCGACATTGCGCACAGAGCTAGAGTAAAAGCGCCTAACACACAGACGTTATACATGATCGTCAACCACTGAGGCATTGTAGGATCTATGGAACAAGTCTTGCCGTTTTCTGCATAATACTTTGTCTTCACTTCCTTCACTCCAAATGCAGCTAACGCCGGAATGGACACTAAGGCAGCACCGATCACAGAAACCACGCAGCATATCTTTGCTTTTTTCACACCGAAATCATCACTGGGTCGACAAAGCTTCCTGTAGCAGTCATACGCGACACAGATGAGCGTGAGAGAGAGGCAGCATACGGACCACGTCTCTACGAACCCCATCACTTTACACAGCGGGACCACATCGTATAAATACGGCAGCGCCAGAGCTGAAATCTCCAAAGGAATGCCCACAAAGCACCCGAACATGTCAAAAATTGCGAAGAAAATTACAAAAAAATTTGACGTTGCTCGCCTCGACCGACACCTATATATATAACACACTATAACATTGCACAGCACTCCTAAAACCACAATGCACCCAAGGACGACGAACACTGGTAGAAACATGGACGCCTTCTCGTAGTTGAGCTGATATATGTTGGGTCCCGGGGTCTTGGCCAGGCTTTGCTTAGAGGAGTTGGTCGCCATCTTCCTCTCCCAGGTGTGGTGGTCATAAGAGTAGTAGTAGGTGTCGTTGGCAGTCCCTTCCACGTCAACAACATCCACTGTGCCCGGGTCGGTCATATATTAGAGTGATCAGTTTCATTAGAGAAGAAATGCAACACCCCGGAACATTCAGTGCAGTACTCTCATGGCAATCTGAAATTGATTTTTTTTTAAATTTTTATTAAAAATGGGTGTATGAAAATTAAAGCATAAGTCGGAGTACATTACTGGTGAATAAAAAAATAGAATTCACTCAAGTTATTTTATTTTTAAAACAATCATTATAAAAAAAAAAAATGTTTAGTAACATCCAAATATTTAAAGTATAATTTTTTTAAAGTATTAATTTTTAAAATTCCGCTATATTATTTATTAAAACCCTGCCCCGCCTTTCTCTTCCCCCCCCCCCATCCATCCAAGGAGAAGATTAGAATGCTGCATGGTTTAAACTCACAAGCTGTTATCAATTCAAAATCTAACCACTGGTCATCAATTCAAAATCTAACCACTAGTTAACAATTCAAAAAATCTAACCACTGGTTATCAATTCAAAATCTAACCACCGGTTATCAATTCAAAATCTAACCACTGGTTATCAATTCAAAATCTAACCACTGGTTATCAATTCAAAATCTAACCACTGGTTATCAATTCAAAATCTAACCACTGGTTATAAATTCAAAATCTAACCACCGGTTATCAATTCAAAATCTAACCACTGGTTATCAATTCAAAATCTAACCACTGGTTATCAATTCAAAATCTAACCACTGGTTATCAATTCAAAATCTAACCACTGCAAGCTTTTCGTTTCTCTTAGAATATATAAAAAAAAAAAACAAGTTACAGATAATCCATCACTGCTGAGTTCAAAGGAAATCAACCGAGTTAATTGTAAGTAATTACTGTGTGGCTTTATATAAAAAAAGCAGAACTAAACTGGGTAATTACTGTATTTTTTATATCTATTTTTAACATTTTTATTACGGATTTCCCAATGCAATGGACACAATATAATTCCCTGATAGAAAGATAATCACACGCAATTGTAAGCTGTTAAAATCGTCACCACATAAGGTCTAGTTTTTATCATAAGGTATATTGCAATTACAAGCAACGTATTAGCGTTAGATCCTGTGTTTGTTTTAAACTTGCTGTGTTAATCGTCTATTTTACATTCATTTCATAAAAACTAAAAGTATAGAAGATTTAGAAGCAGGATATAATTTTAGTAGCTTTTTTTTTTTTTTTTTTTTTTTTTTTTTTGTAAGAGGAGTTAAAAGTTCTTTCAAACGAAATATCAATACCCAATCAAGAGGGGTCGAGTAATTTAATGATTCAGCAAGAAATGTGTCACAAGTGGCCCCGGTCAGATTTATAGTCAGGCAGGCCGACGTAGCGTAGTTTATGTGTTGAATATAGGTCGCGGTATATCCCGAGGAGATTTTGACATTATGAATGAATGGCGAACTCGAGAACGGTGTCGTGTTGCCGTACCGTAAACCTTAGATTGTAAAGGTACACAGATTTAAAAAAAAAAAAAAAAAAAAACTATTTTAAAACTAGCGAAACGGGGTGGGGGAGGGAGGAACACATACTGTGTGATTCAAGTTGCCTGACACAGTGGTCCTTTTAAGTGTAAGGTTGTACCCCCAAAAAGGGTAGCAGCAGTCCTCACGATGGTTTTCATGGATGGTATTTGTTGTAATATTATTTTTTATTTTTGTGTGTAAATCGTAAAACTAACGAGCCAACTGCACAACAATATTCCGCTACGATTTAGTCACGGGTAGTATTTATTGTAATATTAATTTTATTTAATTGTGAAAGTCGTAAAACTAACGAACCAAATTAATATATTGGTAATCATCTGCTTAACAATATTCCGCTACGATTTTAGTAACTTTTACGAGGGGGGGGGGGGGGGTTGATAGCGAAGGAGAGAGCATGATTGCTAATACTAAAGTCTCGCGCTCAAAACCTCGTGTAGGTGAGGCTTTTTTAGCTGGGGACAACGACCTATCTATGAGAGAATAACTACATAATTAAAATGGCCTGCAAATCCAGAAATAAATTTAAAAAAAAAAACAAAAAACGACTGAAGTTGGAGTCAACGGGACGTATGACGCATAATATAATAATCCCGAATAAAACACCTCACACTAGAAAATTAAGAAAGATGAAGAAGGGAACATTACGACACCATAAAAACAAGAAACATTTCTTGACACTATTCGTATAGACATACTAATTAAGTTCGTTTTCGGTGTTTTTTAAGACGTTTTTTTCCAAGGGTGGGGGGGATGCACTGAAACTTTCGGGGGGGGGGGGGGGGAGGTTATATAAGTATACATATTTTCTATATGAATTCAATTTCGTTAAGGGGGGAGGTAGACGTGCTTCGGGGGGGGGGGGGGGCTGAAAGAAACTCCTATCCCCGAATAGAAACACTGTTTTTTATACATATTTTAAAATATTTTTTAATATGTTTAAATACTGATAAGGGGTTGACATTTAATTCCGGACAAAAAAGCAAGCGCTTATTTTATTACTTTAGGTCAAGCGGATTTTTAGTATTGTCTGAAACCCCGACTGTTGAAAAAAAAAGCACAATTATCTTGACGATAAAAGCGTTGGATTCTGAGATATCGCCGCGTAACAAAAACGATTAAAAATCACTTGTCAATGCATAAAAATCCCAGTGAAAACTGTATTTTAATAGCACTTAAAAACCAATAAATGCAACTGCTAAATTGGTTGGTAAAAAATAAATAAATAAATAAATAAACTTTTAAAAGAAAATTCACGAGCAAAAATTTTACAATCTTAATCTCCGAAACCACAAAAGTTGAAATAACTGCTCATAGGTTAGCACCTCCTTATATAAGTGTCTGGCCTTCTCCTATTACCACGTGCCAGTATTAGCACGCGCTGCATAATTTTTTTTTTAAATGTTTAACACATTTAGTAACAGTTTCAAGATGCGAACTCTAAATCCAATTAAAAGTTAAAAGCCTAAAAAAAAACAGTGCATCATTATACGATTTAGACTTGGGTCTTTTTTCTGAAATAATTTCAACAAAATATGTAAATTGGGCGTGAATTGATGACGTTTAAGTGTGCGTGGGAGAGTTTACAACAAAGGTGAGGTGGGGAGAACCCAGAGGCGTAGCGACCCCTCCCGGCGCCCGGGGACAAACTTTCAATGTACAATTCAAAACTACAGCTAATATGAGCTTTTAATTTTTTTTCCAACCCATTTTGGCACCCCTAGGGTCGGCGCCCACGGACATATGTACCCCCCCCCCTCCGTCGCTACGCCTCTGGGTGAGGCTGAAGAATGAGAGACTTATGCAACCGTAAGAGACAATAGAATTTTAAAACGACTGCTTCAAAATATTGTTTAAATCAGTAAAGAAAAATGAATTAAGAAAAACGACAAGCGACTAGTGTCTTGAAACATATTGCTCGGGTGGGGGGGGGGGGGTGTGACACAGAAGAAGTATCTAAAAGAAATACAGCATAAAAGTGGCAGGATTTAAATACTGGTGTGATTTTAAATACTAGTGTAATTTAAAATACTGGTGCCATTTTAAATACTGGTGTGATTTTAAATACTGGTGGGTTTTTTTTCAATTCCGACGTGGTTTTAAATACTAGTGCAATTATTTTTTAATGCTGACATTTTAAATACTGGTGTGATTTTAAATACTGGTGTGATTTTAAATACTGGTGTGATTTTTTTTTTTTAATTCTGCCATGATTTTAAATACTAACATGACTTTGGGGTTTAGACACTGAAGTCTATTGTCTTTCGTGATCGGAAGTTGGCCAGAAAAAAAGTTTAACAGAAACGACTTAAAACACGTGTTCTGAAAGAAGCGCCAATGCGTAGGAGTTGGTAAAGTTAGCCATGTGTGAGGTTTGGAAGGGAGGGTGAGGAAATACACAAGTTGAACAGTTAATTGCAAGCACACATTCGCACGGCGCGCAGGCAACAAATCAAAGACTAACCTAACTCGTGGGTATAACTCTGGGATAATTTGAAAATATTTGGTACCGTTTGGCTCCGTCGTTTTTTAAATAACGAGGTTAGAGTAGAGGCGTGGAAAATTGTTTCGCCGCCAAATAGTCTGGGTTCTAGTTTTGCCAATACTATATGTATGTGTATGGATTCATAATTTTTATTTTATTTATGAAACTAAATTCAGTCTGGACGGATCGAGTCCAAAATCCGCCAAGTTTTGTAACTTGAATCCAGTGTTTCTTCCAGACTTTTTTTCGGAGGGGGGGGGGGGGGGGGGCGGACACTGGTAAAAGTATGTTTTCTATGTTTTTTCTATATATAAATTCCATTTCGTTTGGGGGGGGTAGACTTTCTCCGAAGAGATGCCTGGAAGAAACACTGCTTGGATCATTGGATCAAAGGTTTCGATCAAGTTTATAGTTAATGTTGATTTCTATTAAAATATTTCTAAGCAGTGAAATGAAGTAGAGTATGTGTGAGCTAAAAATATAAACATATACGCCTGGCAAAAAAAATGTGAGGTCAATTTGGGAGGTTTTTTTTCTTTCTTGTTTTTTTCTTACAAAGAAACATTTGACTGGATTAATAGTAAGATGTGCTTACATCATTTGTAAAATTCTGACTTATCTAAAATTTAACATACGGCCCATGGGATTAACAGAGGTTGACTAGCTCACTGGTCTACTGGGGAAAATCCCGGTAGGCCCCTAGGAAAAGGCCCCCACGGTGCTGTAATTGTTCTATTAGACTTTTTATTTTTTTATGGTAAAACACGGATAAGAAGATGAAAAAACAAAGAGTTCGGTAATGTGCTCTTACCTTAAGAAAACCAGAGAACACCCATAATGTGGTATCAATGTACAGAGTCACCCTAAACGCTGAATGACATCAACGTTCCAAATACATAACGCCGAGAATCACTGGTCCTAATTAATTCCTCAGACTTTGTTGAAGTGAACACTGTTTTAAATCTTCGAATGAACTTAACACTGAAGTACGATGTATAATTGTCAGTATGGGGGATAGTTTTCCTCTAAAAAAAAATTATATGTAGAATCAAGAGATAGCCCCGTTGAACAACGTTGAAGAACGCAGCTAGAATGGGGGAAAAAAGGGAGTCGCTATTTGAAGAATTACCGCACTGACGTCAAAATGTTCAAACCCCCCAATTAATAGTGTAGACAGAAACAATGTTTCGAACAAAGTTCTTTGTCAGAAAGGAAGATAAAACGACGTTATTTTTTTTTCTCCAGTTTTAAGAAGAAAAAAAAAATGTGAACCCTCCCACGTTGCGAGTATGGGGTGGGGAGGAGGGGGTAACCGGTACATTCGCGCTTCAAAGTTAACCACTGTAATAAACATGAGAGGTGAACAAGTACGTTTCTGCTGGGTTCAAACTTATGAAAAGTAGAACATTTCGAGGTTAATTACTATCTTAAATCATGTTTTACCCCTCGAGTACCCCCTCGCTCACTGAGCTGCGCCTAACAAGGTAAGGCTATATCTCGCGAACCTTGTTTTTACGGTAGGATGCGGTACTTCTTTTTTTTTCAACGCGATACTTAAGCGGTTCTCGTGTTGAAAAGAAAACCGAATGAACAAATGATTAGGGGCCATAAAAAACAGGAAAAAGGTAAAGGGTTTGGTTTAAAATATAAAAGGAAACATTCTTAATTTCTACAAAATAAAACTTGACAATCTCCGACGAATGGAACAGCGCATTAAAAAACAACAGAACCGCTCGAATAATCCAACACGTGTTGTTGGCGTTTGTGCAGTGGTGCGTGCCAATATGCACCGGCACTGCGCCTGTAGGATCCAGTGCGACGTAGGTGCGTATTTAATCGGCAGGAGGGTAGGGGGAGGGTGAGGGGAGCGTGGAAGGTACTGCCTTCCCATGAAAGAAATGTTTTGTAAAAATTAACGGTCCTCGGGGCCGTGTTCCGGTTCTTCTTGAAAAGAGAATACAGAGCCGGGGCTATAAAATGAATATATCCAGGGGCGTAGCGTGAATGGGGCAAACAAGGGGATCGGATGCCAAGGGAAGAGGGCCACGGGCCACCCATGGCGGTATGTTTTTGGTTGCAGGCGCTGACTTTGTCAGAAGAAAAACAACATTGGCGCCGTGTGCCTGGCTGTTGGTGTATGGGTGGGTGGGGTAGAGACGCCTCTGATTATAAAGTCACTCGGTGTAATCTGTTCATAAATTATACGAGAATTTTTATGTGAACAAGTTACACAAAAGCTTGTTTTTTACGTTTGTGCATATGCGTATGTGTATGTATAAACTTCACTTATATCAAGGGGAGCCCAACAAGCAAATAGGTGGTCTGTTAATTAATGAATGTAGAAAAAAACGGTTCGAGATAGTACTGTATGCTTGTTTTGGGAACAACATGAGTTTGTGTTGTAACGTGACCAACTAACTCGTGGTCCAGCACATTAGTGTCCACCCCAATTCGGTAAGCCATTGATTTTAAGTGGCAACCATAATAGATCTAGAAAGCAATAACAGATGGTACACCAAAAACGGAAATGTAAAAAAAAAACAAGGAAAAAAAAAACTATTCACTTAGATAACCATACAAGTCAACGATATCAGTATGCTACTAAAATACTCCCTCCCCCTGAAACAAGGAACCCCCTCCACCTCAACCCTCGCGAGCACTTAAATCAGATTGTTTCATTTGTTCCCGAAGACCGAGCGAAAGGTCGAGTTACGGTATTTTACAGAGCGCGCGGCACCAGCATTTGCCCGGTGCACAGGAAGTGCGGCCATAATGAGCTGACATGTTACCTCTTTAATGCGATTACGGTATGGGATCGTGATGTAACTTGAGACAGGGAACTGGATCCTTATTTGGGGTGGGTGGGGGTTAGGGTTAAGGGGGGTGTGAGCGGCAATGAATTCGGTTCTTTTTTATTCTCCTTTTTGACATTCAAATGGCATAGGAAGCTTGTTTGCTTCTATGTGACATTCAAATGGCTTAGACAACTGTTTAAAATCCGTAGTGGCATTCAAATGACAAAGACAACTTTTTAATTCTTTATGACATTTAAATGTCAGAAAACTTGTTTACTTCTTTGTGACAATCGGATAACACAGAACACTTTTTTTTACTTTTTAATTATTTTTTTATGATATTCAAATAGTATTGAAAGTTTTTTTTTGAACAGCACAATATAAAACCCCTCGCTATTCATTCAACAACGAAAAGGACGTTTTTTTTTGTCAAACACAACAAATCGAAAGTTTGAGGGGGGGGGGGGGGGGGGTGCAAATCGAAAGTTTGAGGAGGGGTTACAAATGAAAAGTTTGAGGGGGGGTGCAAATCAAAAGTTTGTCCCCGAATAAAAATTTGACCCCCCCCCCCCCCCCCATGAGACGATCCTGGCTACGCTACTGAGCTGGGTCGCTAAGAATTGTTTACTATGTTGAATCCCAGTTGAGAAGACCTCATTTCATCAAACTGAACGTACCCTATTTTTCCCACGTTTTCTTTAACTTGCTTTCTCTGTTTGTCTTTCCAATCAAATCTTGCGATCGAAATTTCTGGCACTTCCCAGTTAGCTAGCGCGCTGAAATTTTCAGGGAAGCTTTCTTTTGGATGACCATTGAATATTCAATTGTTTTTATTACTAAATTGATCAATGGAAACATTTTATTGAGCATTTTAGACCGCTATATAATCTATATATATAATTCTCCTCTGCTAGCCATTACAAAAAAAAACCAGCGACGCGTACCTCGCGCGCAGTGAAGCGAACGATCACATGTCGCCACAGGCTTAGGGGCAGAGAATTTAGCTTGAACCGAGTTTAAACTTACAGGAGGTAGGCCATTTTGGGGGAGACGATATGGTCGAGTGGTTGGGCACACGATTGCTATCCCACTCGACACGGGTTCAAATCTATGTGTTCTAGTCAGTAACGTATTCAAACAACGTGTTTTTTACGAGTTGTCTTTTTACGAGTTGTCTTTTTACGAGTTGTCTTTTTACGAGTTGTCTTCGTTTACCCAAAAAAAGTGAAAAGATAAAATCGATAGCAAGATTTTAATGCAAACAAACAGACAAAGACTAAAAAGTAGAAAATAATAATCATTAAAAAAGTTTTAAAAAACCCACGTTTTCTGATTGAACTAAAAAGTAGAAAATAAATGCTATAGGCCCTACATCACAATAATGCAAGCGATCACTCTACTATAAGCGAGCAAAAACGTGGGGCGCCGTGATTTTCTTACAGTTTCTAATACTGTTGACTCTCTACAAGCTCCCTAATAAAAGTCAATAGTATTATCTAATCAATAGTAATATAACTTTTACTTCGGCGACCCACGTTTTTGCTCGCTTATAGTAGAGTGATCGCTTGCATTATTGTGATGTAGGGCCTATAGCATTTATTTTCTACTTTTTAGTTCAATCAGAAAACGTGGGTTTTTTAAAACTTTTTTAATGATTATTATTTAATTCTTAGTCAACAACAGCCAATACAATTGGCTTTAACCTAAGCAACTAAATCCCACACTACTCTCTCCCTATGCAACTAAATATATCCTAGCCGAATTTACAATTCTTCCACGTAATTAAGCCTGGCCGAAATTATTTTTTTTGTGCCCTTTTGAAACAAAAATGTATTCACTCCATCAAACATTGCAGAAATTAACGGATCGAAATAAATTATCAATGACGAATTCACATCCAATTCCCAGTATCAGTTGTGAATTAAGTTGGCCTAGATTACTTTCTGATATTGAATTGACTGCATCGAGAGTAATGTTAGGCCGTAAATATAATTAATCAATTGAGGCGTGAGTCGGCCTGTAATGTTGTAAATTAAGTTGGCCAAGATTGGGCTATTCTGTATTTTAACATATGGCTGTTGTGACTTTTGAAATGTCGATGATTGAACTGGCGAGAATTAAGTTATATCGGCCATGACTAAAACAAATTTACAATGACTTGTGGCCTGGCTATTGCTGAAAAATAGCTTGGGCGTCCATATAGTGTCTTGGCCATAGCACGAACGCTTTCGATGTATTGCATGCCTTGGTCACGATATGAAGGCCTTCTATACATCTTAGCTACAACATGGGTGTCTGCGTGCGTGTCGGACATGGGTGAACGGCCCCTAACCAAAGTATGAATTTTTATGAATGAACTTAACCTATGCGTGAAAACCAGACAAAGGATTTGAACTTTCTCTTTCGTGTTCGTGAAGGTGTAGCTAGAGTGTCGTGGGCTTAGCGGCAGGCCATGTTAGTCTGTCAGGGTATGTCTGTCGTATCTATATATTACCCAACAAAACTTACTCTAGCAACTTTTTTTTTTTTTTGTAAACTTGGGAGGTTTGAGTTTGGTAACCTAAATAACGAAACAAAACGTCTTTATTATCAAAACGTTTATACTACGTCTAGTATTTGCATTATCTATTTAATGCTAAAACACGTTGTGCAAGAGGTAGTGAGCGATCAGCACTTTTAGGTTGTTTATTTAACCCATCCCCACCCTTTACCACAAAAAAGCTACGCCTCTGGGTTGTTGTTTTTTTATCCACATAACAGTATACACACAAAGCTACAATTACAAATCACGCACTAGCTGGCAAACTTGAGGATAAGTATAAACATTGTATTAAACTTTTTTTTTAAATGCACACCAGCTTGAAAGTTAAAAAAATAAAATAATAAAAGATGATTGAAAAAAATACATACAAAGCAGAAAGCGTAATATGTTTACATACATTATGTATATACCTATATAAATGTGTGTAAGTATATATATATATATATATATATATATATATATATATATAGTGTGTGTGTGTGTGTGTGAAGTTTCTCAAATCCCACCTATACATTTGCAAAACGATATGTTTACTTATATACAAGCAACGAGTGTATAAAATTGTTTCTGTTTGAAAAAAAAACCCAGCACGGACCCTGCTACTGCTAGATCTAGATTTAAAAGAAGAGGAAGTCGAGTGTTTACCGAGTGTGAAGTCGAGGGCTGTATTTGTAACTTCTCTTGAGGCATCAGGCGCGCAGTAAATAAACTGTTTGCTACTCCGCGTTGTAAATACCTGCAAAAAAATCGGTAGTCTTTAGGTACAACATACGATTAAAAATTATTACAAGTTAATACTTACAACACAATGTTATGCCTAACAACAAACATATAATAAGGAGAGGAGATGATTCAAGTGGAAATGGGGGGAGGGGGGGGGGGAATGGGGTAAACAAAAACGGGCATTACAATTAAATTCTTTATGGCGTTCTCTAATAAATAATTCCAAGAGATTAACTTCGTTCCCCCGTGAAGGTGTTTACTCTGTTAAAGAAGACAATAATATTTACCCCCTAAACTAAACAGGATATAAAAATCAGATTGTTCTTTTTAGTATGGTAACGGCCACAGTTATTCATTGGGCTGAAGTTAGCAACAGCCATAGTTATTCATTGGGCTGAAGTTAGCAACAGCCATAGTTATTACTTGGGGGCTGAAGTTAGCAACAGCCATAGTTATTCATTGGGCTGAAGTTAGCAACAGCCATAGTTATTCATTGGGCTGAAGTTAGCACAGCCACAGTTATTACTTGGGGGCTGAAGTTAGCAACAGCCATAGTTATTCATTGGGCTGAAGTTAGCAACAGCCATAGTTATTCATTGGGCTGAAGTTAGCAACAGCCATAGTTATTCATTGGGCTGAAGTTAGCAACAGCCATAGTTATTCATTGGGCTGAAGTTAGCACAGCCACAGTTATTACTTAGGGGCTGAAGTTAGCAACAGCCATAGTTATTACTTGGGCTAAAGTTAGCAACAGCCATAGTTATTACTTGGGCTAAAAATAGCAACAGCCATAGTTATTCATTGGGCTGATGTTAGGAACTGTCATAGTTGTTATTTGGACTTAAGTAAATCCATAATAAAGGATTAGGTCGTGTATCGTTTTTGCCGATGCCGATTATCAAATGCATTACACTGCGTTGATAGTTTCTACACAGCTAGCTTTAACAGGCAAAAAAAAAAAAAAACTCTTAAGAGACAAGTATAAACGAGGGAGATAACACGTACGAGTTCAGATGTGTGTCACACAACAGCACAGCAGTTATTATGTGTGCATGTTTTCCTTGTAGTGTAATGATGTAATACCACAGATTCGCTATAGATATAATTTATTTATGTTACTATAATGTGCTCTAATTTTTGTGACTTCTTTCAAAGGTGTAGGGTTCGTTCCTTTAGGGGAAATAATTTGCCGGCATAGCCGACAGGGAGCCGGGTTAGCCCATAGGGAGCCAGGCTAGTCGACAGATAGCCGGGCTAGCCGACAGAGGAGGGGCTAGTAGACAGGGAGCCGGATTGGTCGACAGGGAGCCGGGATTAACAGACAGGGAGCCGGGCTAGTCTACAGGGAGCCGGGCTAGTCTACAGGGAGCCGGGCTAGTGTACAGGGAGCCGGGCTAGTGTACAGGGAGCCGGGCTGGTCGACAGGGAGCCGGGCTGGTCGACAGGGAGCCGGGCTGGTCGACAGGGAGCCGGGCTGGTCGACAGGGAGCCGGGCTGGTCGACAGGGAGCCGGGCTGGTCGACAGGGAGCCGGGCTGGTCGACAGGGAGCCGGGTTAGCCGAAAGGAGCCGGGTCACCCCATACATAGCACTGACCAAAGTAACTTTTAAAACTTATTCTTTCCGCACTAGGTCTGGGCATCACCTACTTAAACATATTTTATGAAAGCGTGTCGAACAATGGGACTGGGAGGGGGGGGGGTCTAGCTACCACTAGCTAGCATTAGACTACTGTATGTTACGTATTCGTTAGTACAGGGGGGGGAGCTTGAGGGGGGGGAGCTTGAGGGGGCGAGAGTGGTGGGATGTTTATACCTCTCACACGTGTAATTTATTTACAGTCGTCAGACAAAAAAGCCCGTGTTGATTTCATAATCTCACAGATCTTTTAAGATTTCTCCCACCCCCACCCCACCGTAAGATCCCCACAAGAAAAAAAAATTAACACATGTTAAAAAATAAATAGCAATTTTTAAAACGACGAACAGGGGTCGGCGTGGTCAAGTCGGTAAAGCTCATGGTTGCTAAACCGAAAGGTCTCGAGTTCGAACCCTCGGGCAGATGCTGCCTTGTAGTTTGTTCTTGGTTGGACAAAGGCTATGGAAGCAAATCCAAAAAGAAAAGCAGGCTGAAGTCGGAGTCAATGGTCTCAATGGCGCACAACCCCCAGTTGACACGTATCTTTAATTGTGTTTGAGGGGGATCCCTTCCAACAATAAAATTAAGAACGAAGAAGAAGAAGAAAACTATGAACTTAACATGGGAAAATTGATCTATATAACAAATATCATAACAACCGATAAGGTATCGTATCATTTTTTTTAAATAGTCATAACGTTATTAGGGACATGGTTATAGTTAGGGTTGAAAAGACGAGGGTTATATAATAACAGCCTAGAATACGAATCGGTAATTGCAATTTTAGATTTTCAAATTACATGAGCACTATTAAAAACATTCAGATTTTCAACAAACAAACGAACCCTAGTAACAACCTGAGTAAATTGCAATTAGTGATGAAACAGATAGTGTTAGTTACCTCACAAGTGCTGACGAATACCTTGGGTCGAAACGACCATAGTATTTGTAATTGTCTTTAACTTGTGAGGTAACTAACAATTTTTTTTTTTACTAACTGCATTAACCTCACCATTTGTATTTATCTTTTGGGTAAAAATTACCACAGAAAACTAAAATTATACACTGTGAGCCATTAATAAGCATCCTCGCATTATGGAGACAATGCACACGAATAAAGGAGACCATATACATACAGAGGCGTAGCGACCCTTCCCGGCGCCCGGGGACAAACTTTTCGATTTGTACCCCTCCCCCTCGAGATTTCGATTTGCATCCCCCCTCAAACTTTCGATTTGCACCCCCCCCCTCAACCTTTCTATTTACTTTTCCAACCCATTTTGGCGCCCCCTAAGCTCGGCGCCCGGGGACATATGTCCCCCCCCCCCTCGCTACGCTACTGTATACATATAAAATCATAAAGAGGAATGCATGTTCTTTACATTTTGCCTTGCGCTGCCTTGCCGATTAAAAGCTACTGTAAGAACTCGAAAGCTGCTATGGGTGAAGAGGAGAATGATATCAGTTCTTACTAAAACAAGTACACCCCCCCCCCCACCCCACGCACAATAAAAACTCGAAACCACTCCGTAACAGGGACAAGGGCGTGGCAACGGGTGGGTTTGGTGGTGGTATATGGGTGGTGGGTATTGTATATAAGGGCTGTTTAAAAAGTTTCCAACTTACACGTTTTAAGGTGTAGGGGGTTTCTCGAGCTAAACTTTGTGAACCGGTAGGCCTTACATTGTTTGTACGTGGAGGAAAATCTACACCCTAAAGAAAGGGGGGAAAAACTTGAGCCGTGGGTGGGGGGAAAGGGGTGGTGGGTAGGGGAAGAAAACGCAACAGGCGTGGTCTTGATTTCACTGGTGTATTGCAATAAGACAAATATATGTGGAGTAGCCGCACGTGGTACAAGTGTAGTATAAAAAACCGAGGATGGGGCCGAGTGGGGGGAAAAAATGAGGGCCAAAGTGTGAACTTAAAACACGGATATGGTGGTACTTCTATCAGCAATATAAAAAAGTATGGCTTGCCATGCGTGTTAGAAATACATTGTGTGCTGTTGTTTTAATACGACGAAAATAAAGGATTATTTATGGTGAAGATTCGTAAAGATACACTAAAAAATATTTAATGCGAAATTTTAACAAGAAATGTTAACAATTCGTTTTGATTTTTTTTTAAAACTAACCACACATTTGTATAAGAATACGGCTGATAATTTTTTTAGAGTAATGTTTAGGATTAACATCATGTGCAGGGTTGACAAACAAACACCCAACACAGTAGATTAACATACAACTTCATTTCTTTCCACAAAATTAACACTAAAACATTTCCTTCAATTTTGGGATAGTTAAATGCTGGTTAAATACATTCAGCAAAAAATTGCACTTCAATCTTTTATATAGATCTACAAGTGGTTGTAACAGAAATGAATATAATTACTGTTTTGTTTTTGTTTGTTCTTTTTTAAACAAATTGCATTGTCAAAAATAGTAAATCTAAACATAGAGTAATAAAATAATTAAACATTATGCTTGAATATGATTAAACACACCTTTTTTATTTTAAACACACGCTACCACATAAGAACTCCATCTTAAACGAATAGAATCTAGCACTGTAAATAAATTGTAAAAAAAGAAAAAAAAACTATTAATACATCACGCTTACGGTGTACACGAATTACACATAAAAAATGAGAGGCCTGTGTGTCGACTGGTCGCGTGTTGCTGATATCCGCACGCCTTTAAAGTTTTTTTTTAAGTACCGGAAGTAATTTATATAAACAAGAAACGGAAGAAAATTGCCCACGCACCTGCACCAGAGAGCGAATAAATTAACAAACCATCAGCACATCGTCCCGTGTGCTTTCTCTTGGTTTATGGTCACATTGGGTTTTTTTTTTTAATTCTTTAGTGTTATTGATCAGCATTCAGGGTTTCTTTCAGACTTTTCGGGGGGGGGGGGGGGGGAGAGAGAGACTTGAAATATTCGGACGGGGAGGGAGGGGGACGGACTCAATTTTCGGGGGACGACGAAGGACACTGGTAAAAGTATATGTTTACTAGGCCAATATAAATTATATTTCGTTCGGGGAGGGAGCGGTAGACGTTCTGGGGGGGGGGGGGGGGCGGCATTGCAATTATGACAAGATAATGTCCACGCAGTAATACTAAGATCATTACAACAGTAAAGTGGGTGTCGAAGAGGAGAAGCGATGGTGTCGTTTCTAAAAAAAAAATAATTTAAAAAGGCTTAAGTGGAGTCATTGTATAAGTGGGTGGGTCACTTTTATGAGTAGATGGGGGGGGGGGGTCTGTGTATGTGAGTGGACGGGGTCATTTTATAAGTTGGTAGGTCACTTTATTAATGAGTAGATGGGTGGGGGGGGGGGGGGGGGGGGGTCTGTGAGTGGACGGGGTCACTTTATAAGTGGGTAGGACCACTCTGAGTGAATGGGGTCATCTTGTACAAGGCGGAGTCA